TGAAAATCCATTTCTTATAATGTGATAAATAATAGTAATAGACACGGAATTTCTCCTTCAGAGCTTAACACTGGAGAGTACATACTGTACAAACACATCTGCACCTGGTGGCTTTCCCTCCTGCATGGCCTGACGCAAGACTGTCATGTAATACACTACAGACACAGAAGCACTGTGAGGTAATGAGTGAATTTTGCTGTTTTGAGTATTTGCTCATTTTCATATGGTGGGCTTCTTTAATACCGAGGTAGTAATTTGATGTTTCAGTCTTGGGCTTCTCTTCTCAGCTTGGATTTTGTGACTTAGGATATAATGGAAGTTAATTTGAGATAGGTTGAACCCTGGACTTCTAAGCACAGATCCAAAAACTGCCAAATACTGGCGCCTTGATGCTCTGTAAAGTCCAAAGCAAAATAAAAACTAATGATGTGTCATGGCCAGAGGGGAGTTTTATGAAGCTGCGTTTGTTACAAAAACAGAAGTTTCTCATTATCAGGGTACAAAACAGTAGAGAATCAACAGAAATGAAGCTTTCATCCTGTCCCTAGCCATAAATTCTCTTCAGACTCAATGGAACAGATCTGAATCCCAAACATTACAAAGCAAAAAGAGTCCAGAACTCTGAATTTTAAAACAGCTCTGTTCTAACGCTGCAAATGTACCATAGCCGACATCTGTTTCCAGGAAGACGCCATGAAGATCAACATGGCCTTTCGGCCAACACAAAGCAGTGTTTTTAAAAAGCCAGGCCCAGCAGACAAGTGAGGCTTCAAGGTAAGCCCTTTGCAAAGTCAGGCAATTATTCAGTGTCTGGTTGCGTAATTAATAGCCTACAGTTCTGTCTAGAGTGAATCGTAGGGTTCCAGAAAATACAGTTTATCTTAAATTGACATGGTTTTCTTCAACTGGTAAAGCAATCATACTGTACTAAGTGTAACGCTGAATATTTTAGTTTGTGTTCCAGTGTAACAGGGCATTGCCTGAACTTTTTACTCCAGATTCAGGCATCTCTGCCCTCATCAATGACTCCAATTCAGCTCGACCAGTCAAGGGGCTGTGTAGCTGTCACTTCCCATGTCAGACAAACTTTCTAGATTGGAGTAACATGGAATAATCCACTAGAAACGGCTTCCTCACTATTTACTGGATGTTGCTTTATCAACTAGAAAAGATGCTGTTTGATCTTATCCTATCTTTCCTTTAGGAAAATGTAAACTTTTTCATCAGCTTTTCTTGTCATTTAATTACACAATAGAAAGCTAAATGTTTCTGATTAAATGGCAGCAACTATTACTTCAACAATATACATTTTTTTCTAGCATAAGAATAATGCAGAGGTGCTCGCCTCCAGTCCTCCAGTCTTTACATCTCCAGTTTCTTAAGAACAATTGAAAGACTTCAACTTGACCATGCAAGTGGGTTCCGTCAGGTAATTAAGGGGTCAAGTTAAAAAAAAAAACAGAAACATTCTGGCTTTCCACAGGGTATGGCTGAAGAAGGTTATTTACAAAACATATTTTACTGTGTGATGAATACATGTAAAAAAATATATGCAAAATAAGAATCTCTCATGGGGGTTTATGTTTTGCCAGCAGTAAGGTTTTACACAAATTGTTTCATATGCTAGGATTTTTATAAGAACTTTCAATATATACCAACTTTTGCAGAGCAACCACAACAATCTTGGCTACACATTTTCAGACCCCTTTTAACTTGCACAAACTCCCTCCTTAGGAAAGTGTTTTGTAAGTACTAACTAAATTAATTTTATTCAGAACAAAAGGTCTCATTAAAATATGTACATACAACACTGTAGGGAATCTTGTTATATTCTTTCTTAATACTCTGATAAAAATAAAAGATCAGTGGTACAAACTGACAGGTAACTAGGATGTGCACAGCAGATTAAGGGTGAAGAGGTCTAGGTGCGATGTTCTGGGCAGGAATGTCTGGTCACTAAAGAACTGCACTTGTAGAGATTGATGGCAACACTGCCTTTATCCTTACTGTGCTTGCTCCCAGGTCCTTACCTGCTGCCCTTCCTCTGTGCTCATTACTGCTGTACAGGGGCACATCAAGAGATGAGACAGTGATTGATGCCACAGATCCTGCTTGCACGAATTCAGCCCCACTGGGCATTTGTGGGATGACATGTGACATCTAGGGCTCAGAGACCAGAGAACAGAGGCACATGCTTATCCAGGATGTACAGGGACTGTATGAGAGAAACACAGAACAAAATGCTACAAGACAGAACCTGTAACACAAAGCAGTACAGATGTACAGCTCACATTGTTTCCAGTGGTGGTCACACATGCTACTAGGCTGTGAAATTCACACTAGAGTGCCTGTTGGTCCACCCTGAAGATGACAAATATAAAACAACACAAGGAACATACTGTAGCACTATTCTGTATAACCAGTCTGAGCAATATAATGTCAGTGTACCTGCTACACACTACATTTTCTTGCTGGTAGCTTTGTGAATGTGTTGCAATTACTGTATAAATAAGAACAGGAGGAAATGAGGAGGTAATTTGTCATATATATTGCATATTGCATATATAAGTTTCTTCTGATAACCACTAATTGGAATAGCAGACCCTTGAAACTCACAATGCAAAATTCGGAATCAGCAATTTTAATCAGTGAGTAAAGATGTTGACGTTTCTTTAGGCAAGAGACAAACTGCGTTTTGAAGCTTGCGAACTTGTGAATGTCTCTGTGGTGTTTCAAAGGACATTTTTCACGCCAACCAAAATCGTTAGTCAGAGTTTCTTAGTAGGTGATGACTTTTGATGGCCGTATGCAGTTAATTATTCTGAATAGAAAATTCCTAGGTGTTTAGCTGCTCTGTTCCTTCAGCTTTAATTTAAATTTAGCTTTTTCAGAAGTAGCTTTATGTATCACTTTTTTGGAGTTGCTAATTTTCCATGCAATATATTTACTATACAGTAATGAATCTAAAAGGATTGCAAACCTAAATCTTTGGCTTTGTGACTGAAAGACATTTCATGTCCAGATACTGCCTCTGCGTGACCTTATCTGCTTAGAAACGTTAAAATTGAGAGCACAGTTTTAGCCTCCTTAGAGGTGGGTCTTTTTGAACAGTTTGTCTGGATGAAATTAAAGCATGTTTTGTCATCTGTATACATGTGCTATATCTTAACTACACCATTTACAGTATTTTTTTTTCCAAAGATGCGTTAGGAATCAATTTCTTTGGGCTTCTCCAGATTTCATTCTGATGCCTTAAAATTAAATGTGATCAGCAAAAGGTTATACAGTAGAACGTCCTCTTTTCATCAAGTCAAAAACAATTTTGAGAGACTTACTTGATGACAAAACAGTGTCAGCTCTGTATGATTGTTTTCTTATGCCCTGCAGTAGCTTCGGTAACTGTTTATTGGTTTCGGAATGTCTTAAATCTGAAATGTACAACTGGTTTGGTTCAGGTTGGAACATTTGACTGGTTAGAACCAGATAACATGCAAACAAAGTTCTTTAATACTGTAGCTGTATTAGCTCCTAGATACTTTTCTTTTGATGTGACAAACTCTGCACAGAATTAAGTCTCCAGTGAAACGGCCAGTTGTGGGCAAGAATTGGTAAATCATGCAGGACAACACAATCAGTCAAATAGACAGAAATAACCGTAGTTTGCAAAATTGGAAAGCTTATGTATAAGGAACATTCACATCAGGGCTCTGCTACCAGTTTTAGTTTTAACAGTTTCTTCTTTCAAAACTCTGCAGTTGCCCTAAATAAATTCAAGCTTTCCTTAAACGAACCCCATGCTTTGTCTAGAGGTCTTTTTTTTTTCTTTTTGACATTGCAAGTCTTCATAATATCATGTGTATCGCGCCACACAAAGGCCTGGAACATGGCCAAAGTTGGCTGTTTATATTATGTGAAATTAGAAAATGCCAGGCCACTTCAAAATCATTGTTTACGTTGCAGACCTGAGCAAAATCTGTTTCAGCTGTTGAGGCACCAACAGCCAATCGCCACTTAAGATGAAAGCAGAGAACACGATGTCCCGTTTGTGATGTCTAAAAAACAACAAGTGACTGGAGATCGTGACATCTCAAAAGCACAACACTGCCACTAAATTTAATTTACACGCACCTCTGCAGGTGGGTCAGAAATTAGACCTGCACAAGCAATTGTGCTTTAGAAAATCATCCTGAGCTCTTGATGTCTGTAGCTTTTCAGAAAGACAATGCTGCCACCTAAAGGACAAACATGAAACACAATTCAGATGCCCATACTGTACAGTAAAAATGAAATACTCCTGTAGTCTACTTTAACTCAAAGGGTTCTTTGGACTGCCATCACAAAATAAGGAAATTTCTATTAATCACAGGCTTTGGTAGCCTTTAGCTGATATTACAGAAGTTTACTTTGGTGAGTCTTAAACACGGACTCTCCAGTATATGCTCTGTATTCAGCTTGTTCTATGAATCCATTACAGTCTGTCGAAAGACCAAAATCATTTCCTATCCTGTATTCTCCTGCTCTGGTTCTCATTAGCCTAAGGACTAAACTCCTGACTGTCTTGGGCAAATATTACGGTTATATCAGGAGTTAAGAACACTAGAGGTATTTCATTATCGTCAGTACTCTGGAGATGTAAACTTGGTTTGGCGTAACAGTCAACATCATCCAAAATGACAAAATAAGTTGTAGCACACAACGGAGACAGTTTTGCTTTTAGCATATTACATTAAAGTTCGTGGTCTACCCCCTGCACTCAATGTGGGCAAAGATCTCTCTCAGGATTTTCAGCTTCACAGCAATCACGATTTTCCATGATCCTGGATGACATAAAAAATTTAAAACCACAAGAACATTTTCTTCACGTCTGAAATTTTAATCAGTCTCAGAAGTAGAAATCAGTCAGAATGAACGTTTTGACCGCAAAACAGCTATCCTCAGCTTTTGAATGTGTTTTGTATGTGATACAGGAAAGAGCGTTTTGAACAGAGACTCTCCTCAGAGGCGGTTTCAGTCATGTTTAATTGGAATCTGGAGCCCTGTCACTGCTTCTTTTCCAGTCCACAATTCTACACAGTGGAAAACTAAGAAGAAGCACATTGAGTACTGAAATCACAAGGCCCTGGTTTACAAAGAGGGTGGTGAGTGTCTGGAACACAATGATCCCTCAAAAATCAGTTGGGCGAAATCTGTTGTTCTATAATCTTCTAACAACCAAAGGAACAAGATGGGCAGATGGAAGTCCCTTTGTTTATAGGTTTTCACATGTTTTTGTTTCCCGTGCTCCTCTAAATCATGGGATAATCCACTTGAATTTTGGAATCCCACTGTCATCTCACTGTGCAGAAATGTCAGGGGCCTCTCTGTGGATTCCTTCAAATACACCATTTATCCCCTTCTTCAGCTCACTTTCAATAGGAGTCCACAAAAAATGAAACCTTCATCAATGCATCTGAAAAGAATTAGAAGTACATTCTAATGTTAGATTCTCATATTAATCACAAAATTCTAATTGACATTGAACACCTCCTTTGGAATCTTATTTCAGGCTCAAAACTCATAGTTGTGCAGCAGTGTGCGAGCTCATTCAAATTCCAGATGTTATGGATCTTTGCACAGATATATCCTAAATAAAATATTTATTTTATTTATTTAGTTTTGAAAATTACTAACAATTATCAAAATCCCAGCTGGGACAGCAGGCTAAAATACTGTTCTACCAATATTGATCTGTAATTCATTTTTGTGCCCTGTGCCCATCTTAAAAAAGTGACTAACCTCATCATGCCTTTACCAGTTCTTTTTATGATTTTTATCTTATTTTTAAAAGAATTACATGTGGCACATTAAAGTCACTCAATAAAATTACAGTCTTTTTTTCCCCGATTCGAGAGAATCAACATTTTTGGTCAAAACAACTGCAGAAGCGATGGGGGTATTTCTCACTGTAGTGTGCAGTTCCTGAGTTGTCCATTGCAACGGAAATTTTATTTAACACAATTATTACCTGACACAAATCCCTCTCTGTCTGGTTGTGACAGTGCGCCCCAGGACTGGGAGATGGTCTGTAAGTCTGACGAGGTGTCAGGTTTTATAGATTGAAGAAACAATTTCCTCTTCAAGAACCTTTATAGATAGTTAAGGATCAGGCAAGCATTTATTTCCAGCTGTGAACATCACAAACTTAAGATTCTGACCAATAGCCAGCTTAAAGAATTTTCGCCATGTCTCAGATATTTGTCTGGAACAAATTGGATGCTCTCTCTACCTCTGCTGAAGCATCAGAAAATTCGCTTGCAATAAAAAAGCTCTAAGGACAGCTCATCCATTGGTTTAAATCTTTTCATTTTCTTGCTGAGCATAGCATGTTTGACATGAGGTCATCGCAATACACGTTAACTTAATTATCAACAGTAACTGCTTTATCTAATTCAGGATTGCAGGTGAGCCCAAGTCTACCCCAGTAAGCCATGGACACAAGGCAGGACACAACCCGAAAGGGATGTCAGCCAATTGAAGGGCAGACAGACACAAGCAGGAACACACTCACACCAGGGCCAGCACACTTTACAGGCCATGTAAACTCACTATTACTTTAATAATATTTACAATGCCTTTAACTTGCAGTATCTGTTCAGGCACCTCACCGCTTGGAATGAAGTTTCCATATTAATGGTCTGTACTTATTTTTTTGTGACACCCCAGATTTTGATAATATATTTACTAGTAACTATTCCTGAAGGATATAAAAAGATCAGGACACTACTGCCCTGAGCTGAACAGGAGCATGTTCGCTGTTTGTTTTTTCGCAATAATTTAGAATCTAACCTTTAGCGTGAGTTTTAATGGTTTCAAACCATACTCAGCGTCCAGTGTTTAAGGTGGAGAAAAAACAGGAAAAAGGAAAAGCAGAATCGGGGAAGGATACTGGTCACGGTAGAACCTATCGATGTCCTGCAGCCACTCCAGCATGTCTGCGACCGAAGGAGAGAGAGCAGATCTCTCCACGCACGCCGCCAGACCCACTGCATCTCCGTTTTGTTCATACAGCTGGAACACCGCCATCACCTGGTTGCTGATGGCATCCCGCACTGACTGCAGCGCACTCCTGGAACGGTCAGGCAGAGAAATGAAATGAGGTAGAACTTTGAGCAAGATAGATACAGACAGATGCACAGCCTAGTCCTGTGAAAGCAAGCATTTACAAGCCCACAGGAACTGTCCATAGCTTCTCATGGTGCATTCTGACATGTGGTTGATCACACATTGCACAGTGTCAAAACTCCAAGGTGCAGCAGGATATTCTGTCTGTTCTATTGTGTTCTCAGTGCTGGTGCTGCACCAGGATTTGCTCTGAGACTACACCCGTGTGAAGGGCTCTGTACGCCATGGACTGGGCGTGAATGGTGAATGGCTCTGCAGACTGGAGACTGGGCCCAAAGGGTTCTGGCCCCCTGCCTGTGTAGGCTGCAGTACACTACTGTAATGCAGACCTGTTTTTCCTTTCAGGTATCTGTTGTAACATCAACCAGCATGAGTCCTACAGACGCACACAGGTCAAACTAATGGCGGCTTCCATCTGCACTGAAGCCCTTCATAGTCCACAGAAAACTGCACAGCAATGCTTTCCCATGAATCACTACTCGAAAAGCACTGCTAAAAGATATCCAAACACCTGAACTAATGAAAGGAAACCATGAGCCTCCCCTGGCATAGCAGGTTCAAGGTTTCCAAGCTGCACTCTTTTACAAGCCAGCACCTGCTCAAATACATTTCAAGTAATAATGAAACATACTGCTAACGCCATTTCATAGTTATCAGTGTGAGCTCCGTCAACGGACGTCTATTAAGTCACCGCTTTCCTGTGAAGGGATTGTTTTGAGTTTTGAATAGAAAATGAAAAATAAAAATAAAGAGTGACTCGCACACAGGTTCTTACAGTTTCTCCCCCAGCTTTAGCAGGAGCGTGTCAGCCGCGCGGAGGAGCTTGTACTGCAGGCGGCGCTGCAGCCCGGGGAAGCGGCCCAGCGCGGTGCGGTTCAGACTGACGGCGTCCAGGGCGGCGAGCTGCTCCGCCAGGTTGTCCAGCGAGCCGAGCAGCGGCGCGCACTCTCCCAGCGCGGCGCTCCAAGCGCTCCGCTGCAGCTCGACCACCTTAAAGCATTTCTGTATCCCCTGCTGCAGCTGCGGCAGAGCGGACTTCGACATGGTCGAAAAGAGGTTATATTATACAGGCGGTCCACAAATTATCCTCCCTGATGAGCCACAGAAGCACAACAAGACAGAAAAGCGGAGTAATGGTGCGCCCATCCAACACTTATGTTAACTGTCAACACACGCAACCATCTTTGTCAAGATACGGTAGTCTTTGATTAGTTGCATATCTGTATTTTAGCATCGCATGGATGTTCGCCGTTTCAGAACTGTAATAAGGTTTACAAAATAAAATGTGTGTTAATGGTTCACAGATACAGCTCCGAGAGAAGTATAAATGCATTTACTTATCTAGCGGAGACTAATGCAAAGTTTCACGAAAGTGAGAGGCTACACGAGTACTACTTTTAAAAAAAAAAACTTTGATCGGCAGAACCATAAAAATTCCAGTCAAAATCACCTCTCACACAGAGAAAAAAGCACAGAATTTATTTTGTGATTTAAAAAAAAAAGCTGAAATCGGAACAACCAAATACAACACCACCTTCCAGAAGAAGCTACACGCGATTTCCGGGACGTGGTGCCGAAAACGTCATAGGCTTCACCGTTTTTAAATTCTATTGGCCAAGAGCGCTCTGCTCGGATTCCATTGGTTGAAGAAAAGAAGGAGCCTCTCGCGGTATCTTGGGACAATTTCATTGGCTGAGCTGCTGGGGCCGGGTTTGAAAATTTCAGTTACAACAGCGGCGTCCTGGCGGTGCATTAATATTTTTTATTTTTTTAATCGTAAAGAAGAGGTAAGTGAACGTTAAAAGAAGAGTTTGGGCAGTTATGCCTGTTAAGCGTCTGTGTTGACATTTAAGGGTTTAGTGCAATGCCGCTGGACTTTGAAAAGCTGTGGGATACGAGTTTCTCTAGAGTTTTTGTGCCGTTCGTGTCCTGGCGCAATTCCAAAACAACATTTTGATACCGTAGTTTAATTACTTAAAAAGATCATGCTAAAATGCGAATAATTTCTAAGTGGTTTGTTGGTCGAGATAGGACTAAATCTATGTTCCAGTTCCCGACAGCGTTATTGTATGTGCAAACGTATGTAGATCTGAACCAGCCGTGCAGTGTACAGTCTTTTATCACCTCGCAGAGTGGGAGAACTGGGCGTCCCCTAGTGTTTTGGTCTGATGCTTTGCGAGTCACTTTTTTGTTGTAGATTTTGATTACATACACATTTTAAAATAGGCACTGATAGCCTGATGATTTCTGTTCGGTGAGAGACATCGGGAATGACCACGAGTTTGTGCACACGAGTCAGTGTTAATTGTACTGTTATTCTTTATTTTATTCAGGATTCGGGTTTGTTGCCATGGCCCCCAAGAGGAAAACCAACAAAAGCCGAATCAACAAAACGAAAATGGAAAAGATGGACGCGTTTATTCGCGACTTTGACAATGAAGGTACATTTCTTATCAGGACAATGTCAACGAAGCTGTTTTGTTCAGTTGTCTTGTAGCACGAAGAATGCAATTTGTTGTTTAGAGCGTTAAAAAAGATGTGAGTGGCATGCAGGCCTCTGTAAATATATAAATAGTTAAAGGACTCCAGAGAGTTGGGAAAATAATTAAATTGACCAACCACCACCACCCATTTTTTTAAAAATCTGTGCCAAACATGTTTTCAGAGAAAAATAAAATCAACAAGAAAACGAGAATCTTATTGTCATTGGCAATTATTCATTTTATAATTCACCTGTGATGTTTCTTTTCCAGTTAAAAGCATTGTTGGTAAACTGAAAGAAAAGACCAAGAGCCTGATGAAAGATGCAGATAACCTCTACAACCTGGCTATTATCAAACTCTCCACAGCAGAGCGCCAAATCAACTGGATTGAATACTCAGGTGTGCAATGCAGTATCTGAGTTATTGCTGAAAGAGGATTAAAAATAGTTCTTTGCTTGTCGCATGGGAAAATCAACATGTAAAAATGCTCTGTTTCAGTTTGAACAAATTGAAGCTTATTTGCAAAGTCTTTGGACGTGCTTCAGTTTTGTAAAGACTCAAACTATTGGGTGAATTTTCCCTAGGTTGTTCATTCATTTCAGACTGACGTAGTAGTTTCAGCTCTTTGATATTTTTGAAGTGGGGGACATGTGTTGTATACTTGCAAATTTGATAACCAAATAACACAGTACTACAATAGAGATTGGGCATAGAGTATTGATTTTCAACTTGGTTGAAAGAATACTTCGACTCAGTTATAAGAACGCTGAACGTATAAGAACACTAATATTGATATTAACTAGTTATTACTTTTTTACAGCTCCAGAGAGAAAACCTGTTGAAGATATTACAAAGGTATGCTTGCTTTTTTCTTTTTCATAAATGCTTCTTTCAAGATATCCAAGGTATTTTATTTCCAGGATTTAAGCCTTTTAATTCTTTAAATCTTATTTTGAAAGAACCTGGGGATTGCAGATGTAGACAACATAGTATCAGAAGTGCAGATGATATCACAGAAGCCACAAGCAAAAGGTGAGTCATCATTGTGATATACTTCTTGACACAAGTGAAGGCAGACAGACCAGAATTTAAGCTGGTGGAAAGATGGTTTTATACTTTTTGCAGACACATCAATATAAGACACATCAAGTCCAATAGGACTGTCACCATGTCACGTTCTCCTTTGATTCACCCCTTCGTTGTCTTAAAGGCTACTGCATGGCATCGGATGATGACACACACTCTTTAGTTTCAGGCACAACATTTGTCCTCAAAGTCTGTAATTAAAATTTGGGACTCTAAAATCACTCAGAATGCAAGTGATTTATAATTTGAAAACTGTGATTTGCAATTCACATGACTGTAATGTGCATGACTGTCATATTATTTTAATCTACAAAGATTGAACTTCTTATAATTAGGGTTATTCTTTCATTTATTTCAGGGACTCATCGATTTTGTATTCAATTTCTTTGTGGTTTCCCGTTCTTTTGAAGCTTAGTACCTACCTGTATAAGTCTGTTCTGATTGCTTACTTTCTTTTCAGGAAGCAAAATGAAAGAAGGCAATGGAGCAAAGACTGAGGATGAAGAAAATAGGTTGAATAACCAGTCATCCACTAGGAAGGTTAGCATTGTGATGATATTCGAATAATACCGTTTCTTAGCATGCAAAAAAAGTAGCTACATTTTTACATGGCAAATTAAACATTGTTCCCTTTCCCCCCCTAATAGTTCAGGTCCTTTGCTCAGACTGTGCTAATTAAGTAGAAGGTTCAAGTTTCTATTTTTTATCTTAAGAAGCTGATTATTCACTTTACATACCCCTTATGATTTTGTGATACAGCATAGTACGTTAATGTACTTCTTTTGTGTTAAGTTATCCTTGTTTCCCTCAGGGAAGAAAATCGACAAAAAGGAACCCTACAACTAGCAAAAAGAACAGAGCTCTTTCGATCAACAAGCAAAATACTTCAATAAGAAAGTAAGAGTACACAATTGTTTTCCAGCATGTTTGTAATATCCGTTTATGACAGGCTTTCTTTTGTGTTAAACTAGAAGGGAGATGCTGATTATGTCTTTAATGGGCCTCTAAAGCTGTAGTCGTTCAGGTGGGTAGCTGCGTCAGTATGCGTAGTCTGCAAAGGAACAAGTAAAAGGTTTCTTCCATGCTGAAAAGAGAAAACGCAACGTTTTGGCTGTGGAGCCTTCTTCTTTAAAGGTTAGAGTTCAGGAATCCAATAAAACTAGGGCAGCAGGGAGGAGGTGTGGAAGAGACACGCATTTTAGAGAGAATGTGATGCTGAATGTTGTCAATCTTGAAGCTAAAGAAATCTAAAAATGTTGCAATGAGGCAGGTAATGCAGTGGGCCAGTTTGGCTTTAGCAGTTTGTTGATGATGGAGGATTTTAAATGATGTGGGAGAAGTAGCTGGATCTAGCAGGCTCTAAAATATCCTTATATGCAGACAATAATTTTGTTAGACATCAGTTTCTTATGAGGTTGAAATGAACAGTGGACATTTTGTTATGGGGTAAAACTTTTTTAGCAACTGCGTTTACTTGTGGCATCATCTGTGATTGTGATTAACTGGCCATGTTCATTTTTATGGTGCACCCTTTAGTATAGTAAAGCTGTTATTTGCACTGACTTTCTTTGTACACATTTTACACATTATTGCTTGTTGGTCATTGTAAATAGACCTTTTATCAATGCTGTAAAACCAGTGTTTTGTGAAAACGAAGGACTTTCTATGGCCCTCTTGGACATTTTTGCATGGTTAAGGAATAGTTTAAAAAGGATCTTTATTAATAGACGTTTTAATTATGGTAGAGGGAAAAGGCCAACATGGTGGATTGTTTTTTTTAAATCACGTCACAATATCATTTTATTGATTTATAAGCTTTTAAAACAAAATCACTTTATAACTGATTAATGTGTAATAACACTATACATTATGTACATATCATTTAGGCAACAAAACAGCACAAATGAAATCCACAGGTTTATTTATTGGGGACACTTGACAACAGCTGGCAAGACTCCTAGCAGTGTCCTGCTCAGCTTTTCTTATCAAAGCAGCCTGTGCCGGTATGAGTTTTCCTTTTCCAAATATTCGGAAGATATTCTACCTAAATGCCATTAAAGACTGACCAATTAATATAACAAATGGGAAATCCTGTACAATAAAAGTTGTCAGGTGACATCCATCTACAAAAATTGTTGCCATACGCCACAAATCATCACAGATACTGTGAAAATATCTTGCCCGTTAAAAAAACCTTAAACAAGGAAGTTCAAATCTGGCTTCATCTTATTTAAAACTCACTCGTTTTTTTAAATAACTGGTAGGATTTAGTACATCACGTATAAATCAACATCATTTAGTTGTATGCACATCAGCAATGTCAGCATTTCATTTACCAAAAAGGCTACTAGTTTTCTTCTGTGTAGTTTAATACTTTGAATTTCATCTTGCATGTGCTTGGTTTGCACAGTGGTGTCAGTAGGAAAAGTAAAGGGAAAAGGCTGTCTGTATTATATATTTATAATTTTTCGTTTTCATGTGGATGCAGAATGTCGTTATCCGTTTACCTTCTTTGTGATCAGGTCTACAAGGAGACCTCTTAAAACTCCAGCCAGAACGATAGACTCTTCTATTCTGGGACCTACACCTCTCATCACTCCTAAGTTTGACTCAAGGTAAATGAACAAGCTCTTTTTCTGTTTGGGAAACAGTGCAATGTCCGTTAGTCATGAGTTTACTGTATAAACTTAAAACGTTGCTGTGACAACATATTCCCCAGCTTTTTTTTACCACCAACTTCATGAAATCACAAAGTTCAGAAACAGTCATGCAACCATCTTGCAATAAACGCCTCTAATGAATGATTTTAAACTTTATTGCACTTGGATATTTTCTGTGCTTCATGCTTCATGCTAAATCTCACTACAAGCTCCTAACTGGAACGGAGCCACAAAACTGAATGGAGGTAACCTGAGAAGACAGACGTTTTTTTTTTAATCCAGATTGTTCGGAAAATGAAATTCTGATAATGGTACACTGCCTTACTTGGAGTATGCCAGTGCCTGAATCCTATCTAAATACTCTAGAAGGCATTGCAAACAAAACAATTGCACCATCCTGGTGTGCAAAGTTCATAGGAACTTAACTGAAAAATTCTCCTTTCACCAATTATTGGCTTTTTTGGGTTAATAATGATGCTGTGATTTTTTAGTTTTTGATATTTCCATGTAGTTTTTGCAGACATTTTACTCAAAAAAATTATTTATAAATGTGTATAATTTTTTTTAAGTGTACCATTTTGCTAAATGGTACATGCAAAAGAGAAGGGTGAATACTTTATCATGTACCATTTAACAAAGATGGGAAGCTACCTGCTTAAATGTCTTGTCTTTTGTCCAGAGATGCATGTTTGCTATAGAATGCGGCTCTGTTTCAAGGTCCATGGTTATTTCATTGACTTTCAAACTGCCAAATGGCTGTTTTGTCAGCAATAGAGCCACAAACTGAATACAGAATACAAGGATATTTTTATATTGACAATGAGTTACTATACCTTATGATGAAGTAATGTTACAGAAATGAGTAAAAAAAAAAAGCTTTTGATTTGATGCATTTTAATATCAGAACAATATTCATTAAGTAGTGATCTCTGTTAAATTTGCTGTAGACCTAACATTTGCTTTTATTTCAAATCTTTTGACGTTATTTGATGATGCTTTCTGAAATTAAAAATTGACTCCTTTGACAAGCATTTCCTAGCGGGCATACTCGTAGTAGTGACAGTTTGCATTGCACTTGGATATTTTTATCCTTTTTTTAAGCATTATATAAGTTATTTTTATCCTTTTTTTAAGTTTCTTAACCTTCCAAGAATAGTTTGCTAGCATTGCACCACAATCCTGTGTCTTCCACTGAGTGAATGCAGCTGAATTTTGCATTTCTTTGCCCTGAAAGGTGATCCTACCCTTGGTTATATTCCTGAAAGCTTTTCTGTATTTCCACAGACTTCCAAAAACCCCCGCTTTGAGAGGCCCAAGGCACAAAGAGAGGGTGTACAGCATTTCGGTGAATGGCAGCCCCATTGGAGCCGGAAGTAGTGATATTATAATCAGTGTTCCATCTGGAAATGGAGAGGTAAGAATTTTAAGGAAATGGTGTGGATGCACACAAATTATTGTGATGCCTTTTCCTAATATCTGTGGACTAATCCTTTCCTCAAATTGTATTTTAATGGATTTGTTGTAACCATGGTTTGGTTTTAGTCTGCTGCTGTGGGAGATGGTTCTGTGGCATTCTATATTGAAATCTAACAAAAGACTTAACTCATTAACTACCTTGGAATTCCAGATTACTGACCCCCCCACCCCTCCCCTAGGCTGCTTATTCAATATGGCTGCCTGTATTCTAAAGGTTCAAAATCTCTGGCTTGAGTTAAATGTTGACAGTTTTTACTTTTTCTTTAATCGCATTTTTTGTTATTAATCACTACAGGTATCTAATACCTATGTTTTCTTAAATACCTCTCCGGCCAGTAGTAGCTGAAGAGGGGGTAGACATAGTGGAGACTATTGACAGGGGGCAATTTAGTCAAATGCATAAATGAATGTTGATGTTATTCATTAGCTCCTCCACCCCGCACTCCCACACACATTCACAAGCACTGTTAGCCTTCAGCACACAGTAGATTCACATACTAGAGAACTGTATATGAATAAATGACTCAAATTAGCAGGAATATTCTCAGTTTAAAGGGCTTAGTTACTTATAAAAACAAATGACAAATTGTAATTGTCACCTTTACATTATAGTAAATTTAATTTTAATTCTTTTATATTCTTCTATTAACTCTTCTAGATTAAAGCTCCAAAAGTATTTATCATGAAAGCAAGATTAATGATGGATACATAATTTTAATATTTACAAAAGTGGGCCTAATGGTTATATAAGCATTCTAACCTTTAATGTACACCAACGTAGTGTGATAAATGTTAAAGCATTTTTGCCACAATGTTGATTTGCCATGAATGGATGTGCAGATAGTCTAATTTCTTTGTTTTTGCTGCCCTGTGTAACTCTTTCTGAATAAGCACAAATTGTAGTTCAGGTTTGATTTTTCAATCAGGGGTACACCCCTGCTCGTTTCAAGAAACGCCCTGGGAGTTTTAATGACCACAGAGAGTCAGGACCTCGGTTTTACATCTCATCCGAAGGACAGCGCCTGTTTACAGTATAGTGTCCCCGTCACTATACTGGGGCATTATGACCCACATGAGCCGCAGGGTGAGCGCCCCCTGCTGGCCCCACTAACACCTCTTCCAGCAGCAACCTTGCAGGGTGATATGGCTGCTGGCTATATATATGTATGTACTCTTCCTCACAGCCTCTCTGTTGCTCACTTGCTCCCTGAAGTCAGTTTGTGTCTAACCTGTCATGGTCTTGTTGAGTATAATTGTACTGACAAGGGTCACTTCTCTGATATGATGGAGAGGTCTGGGGAGGTGAAGTAATTATCAATATGCACTACATGGCCATTGATTAGAAAGCAACCTTCCTTTAAGTTTTTCTTTGCTGTAGCAATAGGCTCCACTGGTGTTTATGTTCAATATGTGTATATTTTATTGCACGAGGAGTCAACCAGGATGAAATTCTTGATTAAAATTTTTTTTTTTTGCTTTGCACATACTGGTGGAAGTAGTTTGCTGCTGGAAGAAACCATCTTCGGAAGAATGGAAAAATCACAATTGAAATAGTTTTTGTTTTGGAAATTTTGCAACACTGTCGAGAAGGTGGTGAATTTGAAATAGCTGCGTAAATGGATTGATGCCTCTCAATATGCAATGTGACTTAAACTGGGGGTCTGACTAATGTACTCCAGTAGTTGGGAATTTTATATTTGGCTCCAATACCTGTGGCTTTTTTGATTCCCAGAATTTCCTTGTGGTGTATGGGCTTCCAGTCATAGAAATGGGAGTGTGAGGCGAATGTTCTGGTTTGGACCAATTATTTTACATAACTGGTTCTAGAACAGTTGGCTCAATTACATCACTGGGGGGGGAAAAAGATAGAGGCACAGAACTACTCTGTACCCTTTAAGGGGCATATTATGAATCATCAAAGTCTCTCCTGCTGTTGTAGAACTCGCTCTTTCTGCTTGATGGTTCCCTCTCACCTGCACACTCTCCTCCATTGCTATAGTGGCTCACTCCTCCTGTGCATTTTCAAACCTCTCTTAATCCTCACTAGTGCATCCAAGAAATTCATCACTGTCACTATCTAGTTGAATTCCAGCTCTTAATTAATACACACTTGTTAGTCATTTCCCTCATTTCATTTCTCTCAACTCTGTCTCTTAACATGGCATGCATTATAATTATTTTAGAAGACCTAGCTAATTTCTGTTTATTTCTATCAAAAAAAGGTAGAAAATATTTTCCCTAATGCATTGTCAACACATTTTCCTAAGTGTTCTAGAGTGTTAAGTCGCCCAAGGCAGTTTAGGGGTTAAAGTAAGGATTGCATGCAAATTTAATTCAGTAACATCTTAAGTGTAAGAGAAAAGGTCACTCCATTTATATGGTCTCTCAAAGTCTTTTGCCCTTTGATATCAGGGTTGTTGCATTTGAACAAAATCCTCAACTGCAGTCATTTGTAGGAAGTGTAGATACGAGTTTAGATTAAGCTTTTAATCTGAGTGATGTCAAAGGTATAATCATTCAATGTTTTTTTTTAATTTCATGGAATTGGGTCATTTTATAGAAGTAATATGACCACAGAGGTTAAAATGGGTTTAACAGCCTGTAGGACATGGACATATTCACTCATGCCTGATTTTTATTGTAGATATTTCTCTCACATTGAGTTTCATTGCAAATGGGAGGTCAAGTCGAAACTGCCCTTTTATTGATTTTCATTTGTTATGGCACTTTAAAAATAAGTGTTTCAGTCCTTGTAGCTGCCTTAAGGCATTAGCTAATTTCTACCCATCTAATTATTTAAATGATTTTTCTCTTTTTACCAGAGCATTCAGCTGTTGGCAAGTCAAATGGATTCTGTAGATCTAAGTCAGTTCAATGAAGAGGCATTGAAAAGTATGAGATTGCTACAGGTAAGTTACTATTCCATTAAATTATTATACGTGTTAGAGCATTGCTCTCAATGCCCATGTTGCATAGAAAGTAAGTTTTTATTAAGCTCTGTTAGGTACAGATAAATTGTGGCTGCATTAGTCATTGCAGTTTCATGGTTTAGGAGGATTAATTTAGGTAGTTCATTATCAGTCAAAAACTGCACAAACCTATTTCTCAACACCTACAATTCAGTATATTTTGCTATGTATGCTATTTTAATTATCATATTTGAACTAAATATTCACCTTTTTTAGTTAACATTGCATTTATACATTATTAACAAACTTCTGTTTTTTTTCTAGAATCGTCTTACAGCTGTACTTGAGAAGTAACCTAAAAAGTAACCATTGCTTAATTCTTGTATATTTTCACCATCTACCGCTTATTAATATTTTTATGTATTCAATTTCCTTTTAGAATTTACCTGTGTAACGTCTAGCATTGTTAAACATTTTGTATTTTAGAAAGCTGAACATATCATGAAAATATCTAATGAAACTCTAGTGTACAAAAGTTATAGACTTTAGAATTGTATAAATCACATGACTAACAGTAGGTTTGGAATATTTTCTGAATTGTTCATTGTGTGTCAAGTCTTTGATGGTTATTATACTGTGTGAACCTAAGCTGTGTGATGGTAATGTTTCAGCTGTTTTGTTTTTAAGTAGTTTTTAAATAGCAAAGCTGTTTAACTGCATTTATGGGATATTAAATACTGTACATATTTTTTCTAGTTCAGTTCTGAATGTAAACATCCAGTTAGTTTATCTATAATAAACTCATTACAGCCTCTTCCATTTTTAAACTAACTTGTGATTTTTTTTCATTTGCACCTGTGAAAGTAATTTTGAGCCATTTTCGACATTTATAGATGGATTGGAATAACAAGTTATACTTGAACCCAGTTGGATTACAGAATTGAGTCATAGTGTGAAATGTTTCATTAATAGTAATGACACACTGACTTTATATTTAATGAAAGTAAATTTGTGTTTAGAAAGCCTTTTGATTTCAAATCACTCTAATAAAATCTGATTAATGAAGAATGTAAACCATGAACATTGATTATTACCAGGCTGTTAAAGGTATTTGCGATTGAATTGTCTGTTTAGTCAGTGAAAGCCACGTGAGTTGAAGTACATTAAAGTGGGATTCATTACTTGTATTGCGACTGTAATATGTATGATAGTGTGTTGTCTAATATCTGTTGTAGTGTGAACTGATGCCAGTACTGCACTGCTTCCTTTTTTATTTTTAATAGCAAAATTATAAATCAAGTTAGTCAGATCTGTGATTTTGTAGGGAAAGTCTCCTTAAATGCAGTTCTTATTGTAAAGGACAGTTGTGATTTCACAAGGAGCATTTCACTGCATGATGGATCAAAAGATTTTCTAAGAATTCTATTACGTTTCCGCTATTTATAATGAACAGATATACTGGTTTATCATTCTACATAGACTTCTGCTTTTTAATGTGAATAATTATGGAGCACCTTACAGTGATGTTCATTTTTTAAAATATACTAAGTATCAAAACATTTTATGCATGTATGTGCTTGAAAATACTGTTTATGGATTTAGGATATTGATTAGATTTAAGTTTGACATGTATTACCACTAAATCACCTCATTAGTGAGGGCGTTGGATGGGTATGAATGATGTGATTTACTAGGCTGCTCATTTGACAATTTAAAAGTAAGAAAACATAAAGCAACCAATATTTACCATATGAATATCATTTCTTAAGTATGTTGGCTGTTGGACTAAGCCTGCATACTGTTGTTTGCCATCTGGCATGTTCACATCTAGAACAAACAGCCAAAAAGAATGGGCCACAAGTCAGACGCTCACTGTGGCCAGTTAGTATGTCTAAATTTGGTGGTTTGGAGCGTGTAGTTATGGAACTCCACCTGTTGTTAGGGATCATAACTTACAGTAGTTCCATTGCACTACATTGCTGCTGGCCTGATCGTTGATTTATGGTACAAAAACCCATGGGTGATAATAGTGCAACATTCTAGCAAGACCGTGCATGTCCCATGCTGCTTCTGTAGCAATGGCTTTCTTGGGAGAGGCGAAAGTGTTGTAGAACATTTGGGGACAATCTTTAATCAAGTGCAAATGGTTACTTAAAGACATGCAACTTATATTCCATCCAGATGTGGCCATGGATGCTATTAGCCTAAAATTATAATTTTTTTCAATTTCTTTTCAAGATTAGTTTGTGCTCCAGATGGGAGCTCGGTTTGGGATTCTGTGGGACCAAGCCTAGTTGGTACATGTGCAGGACATTTTGTCTCTTGTGGATGTGACGTGATGTATGACTGAGAACTTACTTTTAATTTGGCCAGGGAGTCTTAAGAGCTCACAGATAGAAAGCAGTTTCTTCAATCCATTAGTAATACACAACATTCAACCTGAACACACTGCAGCTCAGTAGTGTGAGAGAATTGGATTCTGCCAAGAGAACACTATACAGAAATTGACATTCTGTTTACTCATGGAAATTGAAGTAAGCTAGTGGAGTGATTTCTTTTATTTTTGAGTTTACAGGTATATACATAATGCATTACCAAGAAGGCCTTTTTTGAGAGCTGCAATGGATCATTAAAACTGTCGAGGTTTAAATGTGCATTTGTTTATTAAATGTTCACATATTGCATACTTAGCTGTTTCATGTTCTTTTTGGTTAAATACACCTACAATACTGAAATAGTAAATATCACTCCTATTTTTAAAACTGAGTGAGGGTGGTATTGTGGGATGTGTGACAAAATTTAGTAGGAGTGAGAAGACATTATTTAGAGAAACTTGTCCAATGCATGGTCTATTCCTGATTTATCAATTAAGCTGCATGTTTGAATAGTACATTTCTTGTGCCTGTTGTTCACAGTGACAGTCCAATTTAAAACTGCGATGTTGAATAATTATCACAACTCCTGTGTCACAAACTGCATTTGTAGATCCGAAGACTGCTGCCGCAGATTAGCCATTTTTAGCCAATTCTATAGTGACAAATGCATACTGTAGTTCCTTCTTGCTTGTAGCAGAAGAGGGGATAAGTCCAGTTTCTTTCATATTTAGTGTAGGTGAGAGCAGAGTTTTACATGCAGGTTTAGTGGAAAATGTAAAAAAACATAACTTGTAAATACAAAATGGGAATGCTCTCAGACAACTGGAGAAGGGATATGATTCCATGTACATTATCCAGTTTGCAGTAGCTGCCAAGAATGAGGTGGTTCTCAACAGCGCTGCACTGCTTGTGGTTAAAGAGATTTTAAAACTAAAACAAAATAAGTCTGTGATTGCCCACCAGA